AATACCATTAATAGACCATATGAAGGTGAAAAAAGCACAGAATCCGACACATGTGAAAAGCAAGATTATATTTTTCAAAGAACTATTGGTTAAAACTCTAACAAGGATTATAGATATTCACAAAAAATGCTTAACGAAAATAATTTCTTATAATTTTTCAATTTTAGAAGCGATTACTTGACCTACATTGTCGTTTGTGTATTGTATTATTAATTACTCCTTATTAATGTTGGCAAAACCAGTCTTATTATTTTGACAGATATTGGGTCCGCCCACCTGCTCTTTATTTTCTTAGAGGGTACGTGATTTACTAAAGTCAGTCTTATTTTGTCAAGTACTAGCCCTACCCGCCCCCCCCCCCCTTATTTTCTTATAGGGTATGTTATTTGACAATATTAACTCTAATAATAACGTTAATGTTGACCGTATAAAAAAATGAAATGTCATGTCACATTTTATTCCATTGCCTACTACTAAACATGCAAAAAAATTAACTCAAGCAAATTGGTTGTTACCCAGTGAATAAATACATATTAATTTATATGGGTTTATTTTGTAGCTGTATATATTTACGATATATTTTAAACAAAAACAAATATATTTTGCAAATTTGGAGATATTTTGGTCAAATTTCTTGTACATATTTTTCTACTCTAGTATCATATTTCTTCGAGTAATATTTGTGAATATTGTTATGTTAAAAAAAAGGAAAAATTTTTACTTGGAAGATCATCAGATTTGAAAATAATAACATTTTCATTACCAAAAAAACTAGCAAAATAACGAAAATGTGTTCTTGAGCTCTCGATTATTTTATCCACTCCTTAATTTGAAAATATTTTTTGTTGAAAATATCACCTTTCAGTTATTTCTCCATATAGTACACTTTTGAACAGCAATAGATTTTAGTTTATACTCATTATCTCCGAAATTATGCATTATACATGATTTTGACAACAGATTTGTTTATTTTTTCAGGGTTTGTTTACAAAAATTATACAACTTTATTTTGTGACGTGTTTATTTTATCACAACCCCTATAGGTTAAAGAAATATAGGTAATATTGGTTAGAATGTGGGAAAAAGGGACTTATGAGGGGATTGAATTAGCGACTTTGACGTTATTAGCCCAACATTTCACTCACTGAGCTAGTCGGCAATTTGTTTTTTTTTTTTTGTGAAAATATGAATGCTTAGGTTACAGCGTCAAGACGGATTCATAAACCACAACTACAGGAATATTTTCTTTCCTAAATTTAAAAATATTTATTTATCGATTGCGCATTATAATGCATAATTAATAATAAAGCTAGCAATGATAATAAATACATATTAAATCATATGGTTTCATTTTGCGGTTTATATATTCCCGACATATTTTATACCAAAATAAATAAACGCCTATTAATTTTTTTGTAATATTTTTGTTTTTAGTAACAAATCTGTTAGAATAATATTTGTGAATATCGAGTTGTTAAAAAGTAGAAAAAGTTTCAATTGGAAGCTCTATGACGTTATCAAAATTTACTTCACACTCTTTTTCAACTGATAAAATCTAAAGATTGTTTAGTCGTGCTTAGCTCATTGTGGACCTTAAGCACGATTTTATCAATTTCAATTTTGAAAAGCTTCTTTCACATGAAGCCACCGAAAAAAATGGTTACAAAAATCTTAGAGAAAGCGCTAGACTCGGAACAGACTCAGAATAGCCCCATTTTACGATGAATTTGAAAAGCTCCAATGTAGCCCACTCAAACGCTTCTTGGGAGGTAATGCTGGCGGCTTCCAAGTGCCACCTCAGTCGTAAAATTTACAAAATTATGTCCTCTGGAGAAAATTCATCGTAGATTTTTGTCAAATTTATAAACGTACTGTTGGGGTTGCTGTTCTCGCTTACGTTACTTTTAGAGCTGAAAATTGTCATATATAAACTTCGTTTTGCCGTATTTATTTACAACAACAATTTACCATTTTAGACATGTTTTAAGTTTCTTTTTGTCGAAGTAAGTCTGCACAGACAAAGAAAAAAAGGCAAAATGTAGCCCCGCCCACCCACCCTATCCCAATTATGATGATTTTTTTATTGGTCGTGAGCCAAGGGGACGGACCTTAACTGCAAAATCCTTATTTCTCAACGAGAAATTTAAAACATGTTTTTGAGTATCGTGTTGTTCAAAGAATATTATGTATATTAAGAAAAAAAAATAAAGCCGACGATTAGGCCCCACCCATACCCGCCCCGATCTCAATTCTCAATTGTGATGAATTTTTCATTCGTTGTCAGATCGAGAGGCGGGGCTTAATTGCAAGATCGATATTTGTCTACAAGAATTTACCATTTTAAACATGGTTTAAGTTTCTTGTTCTGAAAAGACGATTACGTACATTAAGAAAAAAGCCAACATATAAATCCCACCCACCCACCCTATCTCAATTGTGATAATTTTTTTATAATTGTCTTATTATTTCTCTCTCTAAATGATATTACCATGTAAGAAATTTTTTTAGAGTATCGTCAAAGCATACTATGTATATTAAGAAAAAATTAAAGCCTAAGATTAAGCTCCACCCATACCTGCCCTGATCTAAATAGTAATGAAGTTTCATTTATTGGCCGACCTAGGGGTGGAGCCTAATTCCAAAATTCATATTTCCTTACAAAAATTTACCATTTTAAAAGTGTTTTAAGTTTCAAAAAATTAAAAAAATCACCACAATTGAGAGGGGGTGGGTGGGAGGGGTTAATATTTTGCCTTATTTTCGTAATATACATAGCATGCTTTGAACAACACGATGCTCAAAAACATGCTTTTAATTTATTGGAAAGAAATAATTACTTCGCACTTAAGCTCCGCCCACTTGGTTCACGGCGAATAAAAAAATCATCACAATTGAGATAGGGTGGGTGGGCGGGCTTACATTTTGCCTTTTTGTTTTAATATGTGAAGACTTCTTTTCACGACATGAAACTTAAAATATGTTTAAAATGGAAAATTTGTTTAAGGAAATATCGATTTTGCAATTAGGCTCCGCCCCATAATTTCAAAAGCCATATTTCCTTGCATAAACCATTTTAACCATGTTTTAAGTTTTTTGTTATGAAAAAATGGCTATGTATATTAAGAAAAAAAAAAGGCAAAATATTAGGAAGTATTGTAATCTACTTTTACATTTTCTCGACGTTTCATGACCCCTAGAGTACGAAGAAATGGGTCTCCCGTTTCCGTCTGTCCGTCTGTCTGCCGTCCCGATTTTTTTTTTGTATGCTTTTGCAGAGTGATTCTTCTGTAAGTATTCTCTGGTTGTGCGAACGAGTTGTCGTTAGAAGAAAAGTTACTATTAAAAAACTTTTGTTTACAAAATTTTACAATTTTATTTTGTAATAAGTATTTTATTTATTTTATGATAACCCCTATAGGTTAAACAAATATAGGAAATCGTGGTCACAGTGTAAGAAGAAAAGAAACCTATGAGAGGATCGAACCAGCGACTTTGGCATTGGCTACGTTTCATCCACTGAACTATTTGGCAATTTGGATTTTTTGCGAAAATGTGAATGCTTAGGTTAAACGGTCAAGGCGGATTCATAAACAAGAGGTACAGGAGTAAGTTATTTCCTAAATTTATATATCATTTATCGATGGATTATGTATTATCTATACATATACATGATTAATAATAAATTCATATTAAATCATACAATTTAATTTTTAGTTTTTTACAACATATTTATACAAAAATAAATATATTTTGTATATTTGGTGATGTTTTGGTCAAATCTCCTGCATATAGTTTTTTACTCTAGTAGCATTTTGACAACAACTTCGTTTACTGTATAACTGTAGCTTCTGTACACTGAGTTAAGAAAAGCAAATTATTATTATTAAAAAAACTTGTTCTAGCATCCATTTTTCTTAGTGTGTGGAATTTAAAACTTTTCATGTTCAATCTTTGGGTGCTATCGTTGACAGTATCAAGAATTTAAATACTTATATTTCTACTTGGTTATTAAAAATATGTGAATTTTTAAATTAGTTTTGTTAAGTACTAAATTCTGAGATAACATTTTTTGAAGATTTTGACATTTTATTTGTACGTGTCTTGAAGCGGCGTGTTTCAATCTACCTGCGTGCGAGCAATTTCTGGTCGTACCCCGAAATTCGTCTTCGGTAGTTGTTTTTGTCACTTATTTCCTGAATTTATCACGCGAATATTACCAAATGAATCGTTCGGGCGATGTGGCGGTCCGCATCCGTCGACCACTTTTGATTGGTTAACAAATGGCGGTAATAAAGGGAAAATTGGCGTGTTGCGGATAATTAATATTTCTGTCGCGCATAGATAATTCGGTTAATTTAAATTATAAAGGCAAACAATTCGACAGTGGCTGTAGTTAATTGCGAATTACAAATCACACAATACTGGTGTAGGCGCGATGAGATAATACGAATAATCCATCACTAATGTGTCAGTAATTTCGAAGTGACATCGGTTTCGCTATAATCTATCAGTTTATGGCTGGTATTCGTATGTAAATCGAGGACAATAAGATAAGTCAACATTGCCATCAGAATAGCTGTTTCCTGTATTTGAGTTTCAGTTTATGCTGCTGTCATTCGATATTAATCGACGCATTCACGATTTCACTAAATGCGAAACGCCGGCCGAACTTGAAAAATCAATTTATTTTATTGAACTACAACAATGCTTTTGTTGACATTCTTGTATTCTGCACGCAACCACTACGTTGAATATAATGAATAGTAATAACATACTCAGCATTCTGAATTGTGCACTTAACTACAGGCCCAAATAAATTTCGTATTATTTTCTCGTTTACATGAGTTTTATTAGCGTTAATGGAAAACTAATATTTCAGTCGTTCTGGATTTTTACGTGCACTAGAATACGCGGAAATTCACTATTGCTAATTTTTACATTATTGTAGCAACAATTTCAAAAAATATAATAAGAGAAAAAAACTAAGTAATACAACTCACCAAAAGTTTTTTATTTGTGCATAGTGTACACTGGCTCTGAAAATAATATTTCAAAATTAATTTTATTATCATAAAGTTGAAGAAAAGTTAAGAGTCACCCGGCGCATCCACCTAACTTAAATACTTCCAAATTGCATTACTGCCACTGCAATTTTAGGTAAATATTTTGACATTAATGCAATTACATTTGTTCGAACAAATATTTAGGTAAACCACTGTTGTAAAGTATTACCGATTGTTATTTTAATTAAAACTGTAGCAGATTATAAATGAAAACGCTGTAATTATATCGTTGTGACTAAAAACGGGTCGGAAATATAACAACCAAAGAGAGTTAAACAACAAAAGCAAGAACGTATTGTGAGAAAATAGAATAAAGAAAATAAAGGAAAGTCGTTCGTTTTTTCGCTACTTTATTCTGTGTTTATGATTTTATTAAAAAGGCGTAATAATGTATCATTGTTAAAAATTGTAGCGTAGAAAAAATTAAAAAAAATAAACTAGGGCATCCACCTGAATTACGTAGGTACTTCTCTGTATTATTTTTAAATGACGTTGACATAAATTAACCCAAAACCGCTGATTTGTGCAAATACGAGCTGTGATTTTAATTAAAAATTACATACTAATAGACTGCAGCATTGTACACAAGTACGATTATTATTAAAACCATTATTAATGGGTGGTCAATTTAATAATTGCGTGTATATGCATTTTTAATACGCGATTGTGGATTTGCCTGTTAAAAAGTTGTACACAAGCATTTCATTAATATTTTATGAGTGCATAAAATTTATGTTTCTGGTTTAATATTGTTTCATGATTTTTGTCCCAACTTCCGCCCCGAAAAAAATACTTTTTGCACCGCCTGGACATAAGTGAGGGTTCTGCTGCCAAAATAACTGTCATAAAAAGTTTATATTATTTTTAGCTAAGCCGGAAGGAAGTCGGAACATAAAATTATTACGTCCTGTGTCTGCGGTCTTATCACTATCCCATCGACCTTTTTAGGGGTCGACATAAATACTTATTATTCGCACGTTTTGAATTTATTTCGTGTTTAAAGTGCAATGTGTGTTTAATTAAAAACGGAACTTCGCGCAGAGTGGACATGCAAAGAAATAATTCGTGCTGCAAATATAGTGGCTGTACTTTCAGCGATGAATCGAACTTTTTGTCGATTTTTTTGTAGTTATTGTCTGCGAATTTTGCGTGCTTTGCTCTAGCGAAAGCAGAAAATCCGATTCCCGAACGACAATATTCAAAATAAATATAGCATCAACAGAAAACTCATTGTGCAGAAGTTCCCTTTGTGCGCCGTTTTGTTTTAATATCTCGTAAATGCGCTATGATGGAATTTATTATTTTTCAACTTGTTCCAGCAATTGATACGTTTGTAGCAACATTTAACAATGCCACTACATTAATAACAAAAACGGGATGTAAAGGGATTAAGCCGGAATTAGGACACCCACAATTCGGGATTTATTCGCTGTTATTGGCTATACAAATTGTGCGATAAACCATAAATTAGCGTTTAAAATATCTTGCTTGGAGAATTGCCTCCACGAGCTTAGCGTTAATCCTTATCAGAATTAAAATGAAGAGGCGTTTTAAAATGATTACGAGCACAAATAGAAGTTTTTACGTTGTGCGAATGCGTTGTTTATGGCTTACCTCAGAACGGTGTTTAACATTGAAGTCAATATTAGTCCGTACTGGGCGATGATGAAGGGGTTGTGGAGGTCGGAAGTTGTTCCCAAGGGGCGCCTTGGGGTGTTTGGCATCTCCCTGCATCAGCCTGCGTAACGCATGCATCTGCAAACAAACCGTGAAAGTAAAAGTTTGGGCCAGCTGAAACTGGTAGACGTCAATAAACCTAATTTATTAGTCGCATTACTTTCAGAACAGACGGGGATGCTTTCCTTTAAGCCGATATTTTTGAGGGCGAGATAAATTAAATGTAAAACGAATAAAAATACGACAGACAGACAGACAGACAGGCAGACAAACGCAAACGGGTAAATTGTTAATCAAAATAAATCTGTTTATTCCTCCCAAAAAATTGATGACGTTATCTCAAAATTTTTCATTGTATTCATATTTTTTATTAATCAAATTAAGAAGGAGTCACCCCATTTTCCCGAAAATGTGTAAATACAAACATTTTTATTTAATAAGAATTATAATAATGATGTTCAGAACATTTTGTCGATTGTAGTTTACTATTTTATAGTTTTGATCCGCTGTTTTGAGGACACGAACTCGTTCAAATAAAACTAATTTCTACGTGACATTCTTCCGATGTGTAAACGTAAACACTTTCAAGTTGTTTTTCTTATTGAGGATAAGCTAAGGACGCACAGTAAAGGAGTCCATCGGGCAATTTGGTACTTTCATATTTTATCGATATTTCATAACTCCTAGACAAGGCCGTAGCTACGGGGAAGCTAGGGGATGCTGAGCCTCCCCTAGATGTAGACAAGTTTTAAATAACCAAATGTGAATTACAACATCGAAAATCAAAATCAAATATAGTGTTTTATTCAATAAGCGGGAGTCAGAGCAATAAAAAAGTCTGGGCCGTCGGCATTGTGATCCGGTTATTTGCAATTCGTTGAAAACATCTTTTAGTTTAGTTTCTGTTTCACTCTCGCGTCTACAGATTGATAAGTGTTATCGCTATCTGTCTTAAATTAAGAGTACCATAAATGTTTTTCAGTTCAGTCTTCAATCGCATCTCTGTTATAACATACGGCAGAGGTAATTAAATTGTTTCGTTATTTTATTGATTATAAATATGACCCACCACTGACCCGGAAATGACCGGCATTCAGGCAAGACTTCTATCATTACGGGTACTAAGACCAAGTAATGATATGCATTGATTAGATTAACAGAACAACTTTCGAGATTCTAGAATTACAGCATACAAATTAGTCTGCTATTATTCTCTAATCTCACCCCATCCCCAAAAGTCTAGCGTAACTACCGACCATTTATCCGCGCATCACTTGAAAATTGACCTACACTACTCTGACCTACTGGTGCTAACCTAATCTGACTAACATGATCAGACTGTTCAAGAAACTTACGAACAATATGACATGTTCCTAACAAAACAGCTTTTTGAATTTTGATAATTATTGAATCATTCAAATGCAAAGACTTTAAATTCTCAACTAAGCTATTTGGAACTACACCTACATTAGAGATAACTAGAGGTACAATTGAAATTTTTTTAAGATTCAACATGGATTTCATTTCTATCGATAACTGTAGATATTTTGAAATCTTGGTGTGGTATGTTTGAATAATGTTGTTTGTGTTGGGAACAGCAATGTCAATGAGAATGGCTTCGTTCGTGTGTTTCTTGATAAGTATGATGTCTGGTCTGTTAGCTGTAATGTTTAAGTCTGTAAGTATTGTGCGATCCCAGTATAATTTGTATTTGTTATTTTCAAGGAACGGAGATGGAATGTAAGTGTAATACGGTGTCGTATCTTCGATTAAGTTCATAAGTGTTGCTAATTCTTTGTGGATGATTTTGGCGACGTTGTCGTGTCTAGCTTTGTAGTCAGTTTGTGCTAGGATGCTGCAAGAAGAGATTATGTGCTGGATCGTTTCAGGTTTTGCTTTGCAGAGGCGACAGCAGTCGTTTTTTATGTTCGGATCTTTGATGATGTATTTTTTGTAATTCTTGGTATTGATTACTTGGTCTTGAATAGCAAACACAAATCCTTCTGTTTCGGCATACAAACCTGATTTTTTTAACCAAATCAATGACATCTTCTTATTGATATGAGTTTCTTCTAAGTCTTTGTAGAATTTTCCATGTAGTTATAAATTATTATTCAAGATTAATAATAATATAATACTTTTATTATTAGTATTACTATGCATCTTTCCAAACTGATATATGCGTCCTTCCGAAAATGTGTATGACATCAACACAAAATTTTATAATAGAAAAACTCACTTGTAACTTGTAACAAACGGTTAGCACGTTACATATTTTTATTTTAGCTTATAATGGTAGCCATAAAAACAATTAAATTCCCAAAATCAATTTTTTTAATTTATCGAAAGAGCTGGATTTGATAAGCTGTACTTTATGAGCGAGGGCAGTTCTGTCGAAGTAATCTGCAACCAATTTTTTACATTTGCATGAATAGATTAATTTATTTTATTGGTTAAATAAAGAACAGTTCACTCCATTTTTTGTATTTTTTTTTTTAAATTTGAAACCTTCTTGGGGTCCCCAACTGCCTTTTTGTTTAAGGATATGAAACCTTGGAGGTTCAACTGTCCTTTTTTACGTTAAAAAAAAGCGAAACAGGTCAAAAAACGATGAAGAAAAAGTAATAAAAGAAAAGGACGAAAACTAGCATAAAAAGAGACCCAAAAGCATTAAACAGGCGACAAAAAGAACCAAAAAATGTCGTAAAGAGAGTAAAAAATAGGCAATAAAAGGGAAATAGGCCATAAAAGGAAAAAGGAGGACAAAATATCAACAAAAATGGCTGACAAAAAACTAACAGAAAAAGGAAGAAAAAGACAAAAAAGCGATAAAAAACCTACCAACAAAAACGTCATAAAAAGTGGAGAAAAACTCTTAACAAAAAGATTAAAAACATTAAAACAGGTGACATATTAAGGGAAAAATAGAAAAAAGTTCAAAAAAATAGGCGAAAAAGGGGTAAAAAAGGCGAAAAACTACAAAAATAGACCAAAATAGAAAAAGACTTTAAAAATGGAACTAAAGAGTGATGCAATAAAACGATAAAACCTGGAAGAAAAAGTGAGATGAAAAATGGATACCTAAAAACAGGCAAAAAACATGAAAAAGGATGAGGTGGAGCTCACAAAGTTAAAAAAAAGGGTTAAAAAATGTCGGAAAAAAGTTTAAAAAACAATAAAAAAGAGGGAAAAAACGATACAAAAAGAGGTCCAAATAAAGGCGGAGGATAAAAAAAGGTCATAAAAAGGGGGACAAAAGCTTCATGAAAAACGAACAAAAAGGCATTAAAATAGATGTCAAAAAAGCTAAAAAAAGACGAAGAAAGTGGTGAGAAGGGGTAAAAAAGGCAACAAGACGACAAAAAGCAACAAGAAAGGCTTTAAAAAGAACGCCAAAAAATTAGAATCTTAAACTTTCTCCGGGGGCCCAACTCTTTTTGTTTTGAGAATGTGAAACCCTCTCAGGGCACCAACTGTAAGACTATGGAACCTTCTCAGGGGTCCAATGGTTCTTTTTTTTAAGAAAGTGAAACCTTTTCAGGGGCCCCAAATGTCTTTTCTAAAATGTAAAGCCTGCTCTGGGGCCTCAAACTGTCTTTTTTTTAAGAGCCTGAAACCTTCACAAGAGTCCCAACTGCTTTTTTAAGAATTTGAAATCTTCTCGGGACCCCAATTGTCATTTGTTTATAGAAATTGAAACCTTCTCGGGGCTCAAATCTCTTTTTTTTAAGAAGGTAAAATCTTCTCTGGTGCCCCATCTATGTGACTGGTACTGAAAACCTTGTTGGGGTCTCCAAGAGTCTTTTTTTTAAGAATATGAAACCTTCTTTGTGGTCCAACTGTTCTATTTTTTAACAACGTAAAACCTTCTAAGGGGCCCCAACTCTTTTTGTTTTAAGTATCTGAAACCTTCTCAGGATACCAACTGTCTTTTTTTAAGACTATGGAACCTTCTCGGGGGGTCCAACTGTTCTTTTTTTTTTAAGGACGTGAAACCTTTTCAGGGGCTCCCAACTGTTTTTTTTTAATGTGAAATCTTCTCCGGACCCCAGGTCTCCTTTTTCACAGAAATTGAAACCTTCTCGGGGGCTCAAAGTGTTCTCTTTTTTTATATGTGAAAGCTTCTCGGGGGTCTTAACTGTCTTTTTTTAACGAAAGTGAAACTTCCTCGGGGTGACCAAGTGTCTTTTCTTTAAGAATATGAAACCTTCCTGGGGGTCCAACTGTCCTTTTTTTTGGGTTAAAAAAAGGCAAAAAAGGTCAAAAACGATGAAGAAAAAGTAATAAAAGAAAAGGACGAAAACTAGTATAAAAAGAGACCCAGGCGAAAAAAAGAGCCAAAAAAATGCCGTTAAAAGGGTAAAAAATACCAAATAAAAGGGAAAAAGGCCATAAAAAGAAAAAGCGATAAAAAGGAGGACAAAATAGCAACAAAAATGGCCTAACAGGAAAAGGAAGAAAACGACAAAAAAAGCAATAAAAAACCAACCAACAGAAAGGTTATAAAAAGTGGAGAAAAACTCATAACAAAAAGATTAAAAACATTAAAACAGGTGACAAAATAAGGGAAAAGATAGAAAAAAGTTAAAAAAAAATGGGTGAAAAAGGGGTAAAAAAGGCGACAAAACTACAAAAACAGACCAAAATAAAAAAGGCGTTAAAAATGGTACTAAAACGATAAAAAGTAGAAGGAAAAGTGAGATGAAAAAGGATGAGGTGGAGCGCACAAAGTTAAAAAAAAAGGGTTTCAAAAATGTCGAAAAAACGTTTAAAAAACAACAAAAAAGAGGGAAAAAACGATACAAAAAGGGGCCCAAATAAAGGCGAAGGATAAAAAAAGGTCATAAAAAGGGGGACAAAAGCTTCATGAAAAACGAACAAAAAGGCATTAAAATACATGTCAAAAAAGCTAAATAAAGACGAAGAAAGTGTGAGAAGGGGTAAAAAAGGCAATAAGACGACAAAAAGCAACAAGAAAGGCTTTAAAAAGAACGCCAAAAAATTAGAATCTTAAACTTTCTCCGGGGGCCCAACTCTTTTTGTTTTGAGAATGTGAAACCTTCTCAGGGCGCCAACTG